GAGAGAGAGAGAGAGAGAGAGAGAGAGAGAGAGAGAGAGAGAGAGAGAGTGTTTTACTGGCAACTAAACCCTATTTCTCATGTTTGCTAGGCAAGATGCTGTATCCCTGAGCTGCAAAACCTAAATGCTCTCTTGCTTTGCTTTCTTTGGGGAAATAGGAATTTCTTTCTTCTCTGTAAGCTCAGATGTGAAATTAATAAAAATACTTTGTTGCAAGACATGGTAGAACTTGAGAAGCAGAGGCAGGAGGAATTATCTGATTTTAAGACCAGCTTGGTCTATGTCTGATCTACATAGTGAATTCCAAACCAGCTTGGGCTACATAGTGAGACCCTGTATCAAAACAAAATGTTTTGTTGCTCAGTTTTATCTTGAAAGTTTTTCCCTTAGCTTAGCAAATCATCTTAATAGAGTCTACAACTCCAGTGTGAACTTCCAAAACACAAGAAGCCTGATCACCTCACCTCACCATTGAGAGCACAGCTTAAAACCCCACCTGACTCAGCATCTCCTATTGCTTTCCTGTGACCACTAAGCTCCACTCACACCAGCCTTTTTCCAGTTCTTGGAGAGTGTCACTCTTGCAACCAACAGAGCTGGGGCACTTTGCATGTTTTCAGCTTGAAATGCTTGTTCCTGCCGTTTGTCTGTTCCCTGTTCACTCGTTTACTTGGGGAAGTCATTTCTAACCTTCTGACTCCTTCAGCAGAGGTCAATTATTTTGTTGCCTACTTTTCCCAGAAATATGTTCTTAATGTATTTATAGGTTCATCTATAGCATATTTGATTGATACTGGGCTCCTTCAGTAGTAGTAGTTTGTGAGAACAGAGGTATTTTGTTTCCCACTGAATTTGTCTCAAGGCACAGTGACTATAGCATGCAAAGTCTTTTGTAAACATGTGATGGGTGAGTGGACAGATGGACAGCTAGACAGATGATGTGAAGAATGAGTAGGAATGGCTCCAGAAGGAAGGGAGCTCAAGAGCGTGAACAGGGTATTGAATTATGGCCCAAACACATGTGCCAGGAGCAACTTTTAGTGTTCTATTCATGCAAAAGCACTTGATAAAACACACACAGCCATTGCTTCCCAGGTCTGTTATCTTGATGTTGTAGCAAACAAATACTTCTCTTGGTAGGTGGCACTGCACTTACATAAGCAGCGCGCTAGGAGGAAAAGGTGTGGAGAGTGGAATGATTTTGAACATTTGAAAGCATTTATGTAACTTGAATCTCATATTATGGTTTTAAAAATATGCTTTTCTCCATAATTGGTTGTGCTTAATTCGTACTTGCTCAGAAGCATTTTTTTTCTCAGAAGTATTCGTGTTAGAAAATTATCAGTCCTCATTTTATGATAGTATGACTGATATAAGCCTGTCAGTCAAAAATTGAAAAAGAATTTTCTGAGGCAGTGGCTAGCAGCTTTTATTTTTCTTGGCAGCAGCAACATTTGCATTGTGGACAATGCAAACTGTAAAATGCAGATACAATTATAAACCAAACCATGTATGTTTAACTGGCATTGAATCTGCAGGTATTTTAATAGGAAACAGTTTTTTCCTAATTGCATTTTTAAAACTACTCATAGGATTTATTTAAAGGAAGCTGAAGCCTCAGTTTGTGTCTCTCAGAACACAGTGTGTTTCCCATCAGCACCGGTATCACCTGAGGTCTGCTGTCCCGGAGATGAGAGATTTGCCCTCTGTGTTGTCCACGTGGACACTCTGATGGCTAAACTCTCCCCATCTATGTAAACAACCATCTTGTCCTTGCAGCACCTAAACGCAGAGCGCTCTTACAAATCCCAGATTGGAACGTTACACAAGTCTCTAGTGAAGATGGAGGAGGAGCTTCAGAAGGTTCAGTTTGAAAAGGTGTCTGCACTCGCAGATTTGTCTTCCACGAGGGAACTCTGCATTAAGCTCGACTCAAGCAAAGAACTTCTTAATCGACAGCTGGTTGCCAAAGAGCAGGAAATAGAAATGGTATGTAATACATTTATGATCGGTGCTACTTTAACAGTACTATATTTTTGAAAAAAGAGTTTTGTTTTTTTATAAAATACTATATCAAATATTTATGCCATTCAGCTTTAAATTTTGTTATTATGCTTTTTAATTTTTATTTTTAAAATTTGAAAAGTTAATTTATGACGGCTGAATTCTAAAGATTTCAAGAACATAAAAAAACAAAAATCTTTCTTTGAACTTGTAGTTTGCAATTACATTTAGCTAGAATTATAAAGCATATTGGCAGAGCTGTGAGCGAAGGACCACAAGCCTTACCCATCTCAGCTAAAACCGTGATGACATCCTCTTCACCAGCTCCATCTGATAACTGGATGAGGTCTTTGAAGTTGTAATGCACTTGATTGTATCTACTTTTTCCCACATTACAGATAGAATATTCAGACCATATAGACCCATGCTATCCAAGACCTCCCAGTGTTGGCATATGAATAATTTGAGAAATAGGAGGAATTCATAGGAATTACTGCTGAACTTGGGTGGGTAGGTGAGACATCCCACATAGGCAATGGTGGAGAGGTTCATAAGGACTCTTAAATGAAAATAAGTACTTTTTAGTGACCAGTGTGGTGTGTTTAAGAAGAGCTATCTGGAAATAAACCTGGAGAGATGCATTCAACTCTGAGTGTATAGACACTGGACAGTGTAACTGAAATGTCAGCAAATTTTGGTCACCTTGGTTATTGGATATTGTTAAACCTTATTGAATTTCTTATGTTGTTAATCCACCCTTTATGGTGTGTTTGAGAATCATGTGTCTAGTTTATAAGAACCTACTTTTAATCTTTTAATGAAGTGCCATCTGTCAAAGCCTCACTCTTTCTTAATTATTTTTTTATTTCATCATGAACTTTTAAAAGATTAATTTGCTACTATAAAAACTTGAAAAACATGACCCTTTACTTAAACATTTACTTGATTTTTTTAAATTGGGGAATTCTTAGCATGTTACTGTACCAACTGAAATGATATAAAGCTGAGCTATCAATAGTTACAATCTCATCATTTATAAACTAACATACCACTTGAAAGTAGAGTCCTATAGTAATCTTAGAGTTTTAAATCATAGCCCTCAGTAGAGGGCTTTATATAAAGCCATTTATATAAAGCTTGATAATGGCCTAATTGAAGAAATATTCACTGTAAATGTTGTAGCTTCCTCTTCCCAGTTCTTCAAAATTACTTGTGACATTAACTGCTGTGACTGAACTATTTGTGTTTTGATTTTGTTGGTAAGCTGTGATGTCACATGCAGGGATCATCCTTTTTTCTTTTTGGACCTCTTCAGTTGTCAAGCACATGGAGATTTTAAAACATTCCGTGGTAGTTTAAATGAAAGTAGCCACCATAGGTGCATATGTTTGAATGCTTCTAAGAATTGTTTGGAAAGGTTAGGAGGTGTTGCCTTGCTGGAGAAGGTGGGCTGTGGCTGGGCTTTGAGATGTCAAAAACTCAGGCCATTGCCAGTTAGCAGTCTTTCTGCCTTCTACTTGTTAATAAGGATAGAAGCTCTCAGCTCTTCCAGCACCATTCCTGCCTCCCGGCTGCCATGCTCCCTGCCTCTGAAACTGTAAACCCTAATAAACAGTTTCTTCTATAAGTTGTCTTGGTATTTTACACAGCAACAAAAAGTAACAAAGACAACTTGTGGTTTTTAAGGTGATAGATTAACATCTGATTTAATGAATAATATGAAGAGTATCTGTTACTTAGTTTCCCTTAATGATTCCTGCTAAACTATAGTCTGATATAATTATAGTATTAACATTGATCCAGGCAAACAAGAGACTTTCTACTGCAGAATCTATCATGTTTCCCTTTCGCAGATTTACATAGTTCCCTACTATAGTCTATCCACATGCTTCTTAACCTCAGTTGGACATTAGCCTGTTCCCCACGTCTGTAATTGTCTCACATCAGGAACCAGTAAGAATGTGGGGAGGACAAAGAGGGCTGAGGGGGTGTAAGCAACAGCAATATATAATATGTATTTACAGATGTAATGAAATACTCTACTCTGTATGCCAATTAAAAGTAATTTAAAAGAATGATAATATATATGAAATCACACTATTAATTTTTTGAGGATTGGCTGTTTTTCTTCTCAGCTTAAATCTCTGTAGACTCACTCAGGCTGTTGTGTCTGTCATAGCTCACTGTTTACTGTAGAGGAATACTGCAGATCATCTGGGTTGTTTTCAGTTTGGAATTTTTGAAAATAAAGTTACTATAAACATCTGTGAGAAGTTTCTCTTGTTTTATTTGCTTTTTGAGATAGGTTTTCACTATGTAACTTGGTTGTATGAGCATAAATCTTCATTTCTGTGCAAATGCTCACAAATGCTATTTTTAGGTGGTATGATAATTGTATGATTACTTTTCAGAAAAGTTTCATGAAGTTTGCTTAAGTATTTGTATCATTTTTCGTGCCTATTAATGATGAATGACTGATCTAGTTCCTCCGCAGCATCCTTGTTCAAACTTGTTGTCACTTAAACCTTTTTCTTTAGCAGTCTCGTGTGTACAGTGCTGTATCAGGGTGACTTAAATATGCATTGCCTACTGAATTGCAAAGTTGATCTTTTCTTTATGATGTTGTTTGCCATCTGCATTTCTTTGTTTGTTGCTACATGTCTCCTGTTGCTTGTCTACATTCTCATTGGATTGTTGGCTTTCTAATGTTAAAAATGGCTTAAGGAAAAACAGCAAACCTGGATAAACCTCCAAACAAATATACAACTTGAAACAGTAATTTGAAAACTTCAGAAAGCAGATGGAGGCCTAGATTGCTTTAGTTGTAAATTCTCTTAAATGTTGAAAGATGTGCTAATGTAAAAATGTTTTATTCTTCCAAATGAGAGAGAACATATCTTAACATATTCTAAGACTCCAATATGATGCCCAACCCTGGCTAGAACCCCTACTCAAATGTTGGACTGAAATGGCACTTGAGGTGTTTCTGTGTCAACACGGGAAAGTGTTCAGGTGTTCATCATTTAGTGGTTGCTGTAGGTGTTTCATAGATGCTTTTTTAAAAATAAGATTGAGAACATCTCCTTGTATTTCCAAATTATAATTTACGTTTACTTACATAGCCATCACAAGAAAAGAAATAAAGACCAGTATTTCTTATGATTATAATTTCTTTAAGAAGTCTTAACTACAAAACCAATACATAGCTTGGGAGACAACGTGCTATGAAAAATGCTTGCAGTTTGCTTCTTCCCCACCTATCCCAAACTCCTAATTATGAGGTTAGGTTAGTGATTTGAGATCTTCAGGAAAGGGACCAGAATATAAGATCACTCTAAGGACCTACATTTGGATACCCAGACTCATGTAAAAGCTGGGTGCTTTGGAGGTGCCTGTAAATGTCCTGAAGAAGCACAGACAGGTAGCTGCTTGGAGCTCACTGGGCAGCTATTGTAGCCAGTGAGCCCCAGGTTCAGTGAGGGACCCTGTCTACAAGTAAGGTAGAAAAGCAATTGTAAAAAGACACCTAAGTTGACATATGACCTCTACACACATGTGCCTTACATGTGCACACATACCCGCATACATATGAACATGCACATACACCTCTCTCTCTCTAGATCTGTCTATAAAATGAATTTATACACTGATCAAATGGGAGTTATCCCATGAATGTAGAATTGGTTCATACATGAAACCAATCAATGTAATACATATTAGTCAAGAACAAAACCTGACTTTCTCAAGTAGATGAAGAAAACGAGTTTGACAAAATCCAATACTTTTATGTAAGAAAAAATAACTACAATCTGGGATTATAGGAAACTTTTTCAATCTTATCGGAAAGCATCTATGAGAAACTTACAGTAACCATAATACTTGATGGTGGACAACAAGTGTTTCCCTGATAGTGACACATATGCCTAGCTCAGCATTTTGATGAACATCTAGTGGAGGGTTTAGCCAGAGTAACAAGGCAAGAAAGAGAGCAGCAGGCATTCAAATAGAAAAAGATATAAAACCGTCTCTGCAGGTGACATGGTCTTCTATATAGAAAGGAAACCCCTAAAAATTTATTAGAACTAATGCAACCATGAAACTGTAGAACACCAGCTCAATGTGTCAAAATTCATTATATTTCTTACTTTCACCTATGGCCAATTATCAATTGGAAGCAACAATAAAAACAGTTCCATGAAATTGACTGGCATAAAAAGATAGCATCAGAAAACTACAATGTTCTTAGGAATAATTTTTAGATCTTACTTATTTCTATGTGCATTTATACATGACAGTTGTGTGTGGGCAGGTGTGCTATGGCATGCATGTGGGGATGAGAATACAACTGTGTTGACTCAGTTCTCTCCTTTCTCCTTTACATGTGTAGACGCCTAGATCAAATTCAGGGCTCCAGGCCTGTGTGCAGTTGCTCACTTTCTAAGCCATCTTCTAGTTTAGGAAGAGATATATTAAAAGAAGCATAAAAGTTTTACTTTACAAGCAACAACTTATTGTTAAAAGAAATTATCAACTGAATAAATAGGAAGGCACCCAGAACTTGGTGGACTATGGAGACACCATAGAGTAAATCATGGAGACACCATAGAGTAAATCATGGAGACACAGTAGAGTAAACCATGGAGACACCATAGAGTAAACCATGGAGACACAGTAGAGTAAACCATGGAGACACAGTAGAGTAAACCATGGAGACACAGTAGAGCAAACCATGGAGACACAGTAGAGCAAACCATGGAGACACCATAAAGTAAACCATGGAGACACAGTAGAGTAAACCATGGAGACACAGTAGAGCAAACCATGGAGACACCATAGAGTAAACCATGGAGACACAGTAGAGTAAACCATGGAGACACAGTAGAGTAAACCATGGAGACACAGTAGAGCAAACCAAGGAGACACAGTAGAGCAAACCATGGAGACACCATAGAGTAAACCATGGAGATACCATAGAGTAAACCATGGAGACACCATAGAGCAAACCATGGAGACACAGTAGAGCAAACCATGGAGACACAGTAGAGTAAACCATGGAGACACAGTAGAGTAAACCATGGAGACACAGTAGAGTAAACCATGAAGACACAGTAGAGTAAACCATGGAGACACAGTAGAGTAAACCATGGAGACACCAGAGAGTAAACCATAGTGACACAGTAGAGCAAACCATGGAGACACAGTAGAGCAAACCATGGAGACACAGTAGAGCAAACCATGGAGACACATTAGAGTAAACCATGGAGACACAGTAGAGTAAACCATGGAGACACAGTAGAGTAAACCATGGAGACACAGTAGAGTAAATCATGGAGACACATTAGAGTAAACCATGGAGAGACCAGAGAGTAAACCATAGTGACACAGTAGAGCAAACCATGGAGATGTAGTAGAGTAACACATAGAGACACAGTAGATCTACAGATTGCTTAGTTATTCATTTGTTTGTTTTTATTCTTAAAATATATTTTTAAGAACTGTGGGCTTATTTATTTTATATGTATGAATGGTTTTTCCTGCATTTATATTACATGTATGTCTGGTTCCTGCAGAGGTCAAAAGGGGGTGTGAGATCTTCTGAAACTGGAGTCATGTGTGGTTATAAGGCACCATGTGGGTTCTTGGAGCTGAATCCAGGTCTTCTATAGTAATAACTAGCACTCTTAACCACTGAGCCATCTCTCCACTTCCCCCAATATATTTTTTTTATTAATTTTGGAGCATTTCATGTACAAATAGTGTTTACATCATTTTCCCTTTTCTTTCCTGTCTCCAACTCTTCTAATGTTCCTCCCACTCCCTCAAATTGATGACCTCTTATACTTTAATACATATATATGTGTACATACACACACACATACATACACACACACAAATGCAATGTGCCAGACTTGTTTAGTGTTGCTGATGTGTACATGCATATAGGGATGAACACTTATGATGGGATAACCTGTCAGTGGGCTTGTCTCTTGGAGAAGACTGATTCTCTTCTGTAAAAGCCATATCTCTTCATCTAGGGTGGGGCCTTGTAAGATTTTTGCCTATCCACATCGGCATGTCAACTAGTGTTGGGATTGTTCAAATCTTGTTTAATCAAGAGTTTACTTTTGAGTTTTCATGGTTGTTTTTTTTTAAGGATAAAACAATTTCTTACAGATTTTAGCAGTAACTAATATTTGGTAATACTAATATGTTATTGATTTGGGTACTTCATTTGCGTGAGTAGTATGGCATATCAGTCATACCCCAATAAAGCTGCTATCAAAGAAAGTGCAGTTTTATTTCATAGTCGTACTAGCAGAATATAGGAGACCATCCTCGTCATTTTTATGATGTGAACATAAACTAACAAAGTCACTGGGTTGACAGACAAGAACAGTGTCTTGTTGGCTTTAAGTTCAACTGAAAAACACTTAGTAATATCTAGATACAGTTCTGGATTGTTATGACCAGAGTGGAGAATGCTACTGGCACCTGGTGAGTAGAGGTCAGGCAGATCCATAAGCAAAGAGTTATTCAAAGTGTGAATGTCAGGGCAAATAGGGTGTCAAGATAAAAAACTCAGGACTAGAAATAGCACCTTGTTTTATTTTGTATCTGATTACTACTTAGCAGGCTGTCCTACTTTGCTTTGCTGCTGCTGCACTAAATACCATGACCAAAAAAGCAATGTAGAGGAAGAAAAAGGTTATTTTCCTATACTTTCAAGTCATAATCCATCATGGAAGGAAGTCAGGACAGGAACCTAGATCATAACTGCTACTTGATGGTTCTTTCTGCTCGTTCTCAGCTAGCTCTCCTTCTTTTATTATCTTTTAAAATTGTTCTTATTTTGTGTGTCTATGTGTTGTGGTAGTTTGAATGAGATTGTTCCCCATAGGCCCCCATATTTGAATATTTGTTTCCTAGTTGATGGACTGTTTAGAAAGGATTAAGAGGTGTGGCCTTATTGAAGATGTGTCACTAGGGTTGAGCGTTGAGATTTCAAAAGCCCACACCAGACCCAGTCTTCCCTGCTTCTATATTCTGGATCAAAATACACTCTCAGCTTCTGCTCTAGCACCATGCCTTCCTTCCTGTCATCATGCTCCCCGCTATAATGGTCATAAACTAATCCTCTGAAGCTACAAGCAAGTCTCCAAAAACAGATGCTTTCTTTTATAAATTGCCTTGTCCATGGTATCTCTGGACAGAACATTAACTCAGACAGGTGTTTTGCCAGCATGTCTGTCTTTGTACCACTTTCTTGCCTGATGCCTGTGGAGGCCAGAAGGTGTTGGACACCCTAGAACTGGAGTTACAGCCAGTTACGAGCTGCTGTGTGGGTAATGGGAATCAAACATGTCCCTAACCCTAACTGCTGAGCCATCTTTCCATCCCTTCAGCTAACTTTTTAACACAGTAAGACCCACATACCTAAGGGATGGTACTACCTACCTTGGATGGGCTCTTTCTTATCAATAATCAATCAATATGGTTGGTCATAGATCAATCTGACTGAGACAAGTTTTCTATTAAAGTTTCTTCTTCCCAATTGGCTCTATGTTGGGTAACATTGGCGATAAGAACTAACCAGCATAATCCATCCCTTGTCAACTTAAGCACAGACATGTCACTATTTAGCTGCAACCTTTCCTTGCTTTGTCTTCATGATTGCATGTTAGTATTAGTAGCACAAGAGAAAACATGTCCGTCCAACTTTTAGAAGTCCTACAGTCTTTAAATTTTTCAGTAGTTTTAAAGCCTAAGTTCTTTTTAAGAATCCAAAGTATCTTGTCTGTAGGCTCCTATAAAATTAAAAAGAACATGCTAAATACTTCTTGTTCCAGAAGAGAAGAATCAGGACATAGGAATGATAAGATTAAAGAAAAAGCCCCAAATTAATGTAAATAAAATCCTGTAGCCAGCCCTGTAGTTTAGGACGTACACATAATTTTCTTGCCTCTGGCGGGCTTAGACAGGCTATGTCTCTAGCTTGACCACTCTCAAGACAAACAGTTGTTTCTAAAGCTCTACTACACATTTGACATTGTCCATGGCAGATTCCAATGCTAGCATACACTGTTCCAAACCTCTTTATGATCTCTGCAAGCCTGGAGTCTTCATTGGACTGAAGGTACACCCTTACCAATGGCCTCTTCTAGCTTCTCTGCAGGAAAACTCAATCTCTGTTACACAGTGCCAAGCCTCAGCTGTTCTCCATGACACCTTCCTTCATGCCTCCAAAGCCAATACCATGTGAGTGACTCTTACACACGAGACTTGGCAGGCCAAGTTCATCTGCCGTCTTGAGATGTTTCCTTGGTCTCCTTAACTAGTTTCTGTTTGCTGAATCTGATGAAATTCAGTTCTGTTCTCAGGAGATGCTACTTTGATAACGCTGATACGTTACTAGTCACAGATATTCTTCAACTCCAGATCACCAGCATCCATTGTTCTAGTAAAGCAGAGGCTTCACCTGCACAGATTCCTAGTCCACCATATCACATAAATGGCCCAGATGGGATCTTTGTTTTCCTCTGAGACTTACAACCCAGGCATTCTGGTTAGTTTTTATTGTAACCTTGGATCAACCTAGAGTCACCTGGGAAGAGGGCACTTCAACTGAAGAATTGCCTGTATCAGATTGTCCTTACCTGTAAGAGATTGTCTTGATTAACTACTGATGCCAGAGTGCCCAGTCCACTGTGGGTGGTGACACTCCTAGGCACGTGGTCCTGAACTGTATCAGAAAACTCGGCTGAGTGCAAGCAGGTTTCTGCTCTGACTTCCCTCAGTAACAGACTGTCACCTGAAAGTGTCAGCCAAAGGAATCCTCTCCAAGTTGCTTTTGGTCATGGTGTTTATCACAGCAGCAAAAAGAAAACTAGATCATGGTTTTCTCCTCAATGTATTTGCTATTTAACTGTATTTTTTTTCTTTTAAAATTTTCTAATCATAGTATTACTTTTATTTTTCCTCAGTTTATATGAGTTTGTTAATGTAACTTAGAAAGTTCTTTCCTCTCTGTCCACTGAGGTATTTGTCCCTCCCCTAGTGATTTCATTTTTATTCATGTCTTTTTATTAGCTTTTAAAATGTATATATAATTATTACCTATATTACAGAATAAGAAATCATTCTGTTGACCAGTAATCATTTTGAAGAAATACTTAGCTTACTGAGAATACTTTGAGCTCAGAATGCCTTCAAAAGGGCAAGCTTTCCCTAGGTTTATGTTAGAGAGTAGATGGTATGTCTGCCCTCCATGCTCCTTGCCTGTACAGTACAGTGATATGTCCTAAGGCATTTAGTCATAACACACTCAGTTCAAGATGATGCTGGAGTCACAAGCACCATTTTGTCAGTTGTGCAAAACTAGATGAGAAGGTGTCAAAACTGGAAATAAAAGTGTTTGCAATTGGGACTGATGGAACTGTTAAATAGTGAATTTTCTGATATGGTCTGAGGGGTGGGTAAAGTGGTAGCACATGTACATTGTGCGTATAATTGTTGTTGAGTAACAAAGTCACAGTGTGTGGCACAGACACCTGATAACATGTCAGTTAAGTGAGTGGACAGGAATGAGCATGGCTGTCTTCCTTCACACAGATGGAGAATGAGCTGGATTCTGCGCGCTCTGAAATAGAATTGCTCAGGAGTCAGATGACAAACGAGAGGATCTCCATGCAGAATCTTGAGGCTCTGCTTGTGGCCAACCGAGACAAAGAGTACCAGTCTCAGATAGCGCTGCAGGAAAAGGAGTCTGAGATCCAGCTGCTGAAGGAGCACCTTTGCCTGGCAGAGAACAAAATGTGAGCTGGTCGGCAATGTCACTTAGGAGAGTTTTAAAGCTGGGATCTAGAACTTGAAACCCACAGTTTGCATTAATGAAGCTGAGAATCAGGAATATTGTGATTTGCCTAAGATTTAATGCCATAGTTTAGTTTTTCTAATCTAAGGTTTTTAAATGTAACAATCTCTGCTGATTGTTTTGAATATAGTAGTCTAATGTAAAATATTGCCATTAGGAAATGTAAAGCAAGGATCGTGAAACCATAGGGACTCTTGCATTTATGGCCATCTGGTATTGCTATCTGTCTCCCCATTTGTCACATTATAGCTCCCCGTGTGTCTGTAAGAGTATATACTAGATACTCAGAGGAAATGAGCCCACAAAACGCTGAGGAGTTGCTCAGAATTTTTATCCTAGTACTTAAAAAAAAAACAGTTATACTAACCTTTGATTTGAAGACCCTTAGTTTGATATTCCAGTGTCTGGGTAGTAAAAGTTTATTAAATTTGGTCACTAATTATCTGTCTGGGTAGTGAAAGTTTATGAAACTGGTCACTAATGGGTCCTCAGCCTTTGTTCCTCTGGGACTCATTCATAAGGCTTGTCGCCCTGTCTTCCTCACACCTGAGCTTGGCACCTGAGCAAGCATGGTAAGCACTTTCTCAACACTCAGCCACCAAGGATCCCAAGCCAGGGCTAGTTTCCTTGACAGTACCCTGGGTCCTCATGGTTGTAACTGAGTCATTCCATCAGTTCCAGTCAGAGGCTGTTGTGAATCTCAGCAGGTCCCTCAGTGTCCCTTCCCAGACTGCTTGGAGGAAATACACCTTAGTAAAGAAGAAAACTCCCACCGTGTACTCTATTTCAGAATGCTGCTAAGTACTGTGGCTCAGAGCTAGCTAGCCTTTCAAGTAATTAAGTGTGTACACTGATATGTCTAACACACACCAGTAAATCTGCCCCTAAAAGTCAGTGCATGGCTGAGGATGACCTCAGTCAGTAAGATGCTGGCTATGCAAACATAAGGATTCAAGTTTGGATCCTCACCAGTATGCAGGTAAACCTGGGAACAGCAGCATGCAACTGTAACCCCAGCACTAGGGAGTGGAAACAGACAGATCCCTGAAACTCACTGGCCAAACAGCATACCAGATGGATGAATTCCAGGTTCAGTTGGGAGACACTCTTAAAAATACAGTAGAGAGTGAATGAGCAAAACACCCAAGTCAGCCTCTGGCCTCCCCCATCCCCACATGTGCATATACACAGAACAGAAGCAAGTCCAACATGTGCACACCACACATCATATACCACATACCACACACACATACACATACCCATACATACATGCACCACACACCACACATATGTCACACACCACACACACACCACACACCATATACACATCACACACACACACGAAATAACTTTCAAAAATCACAGCGTACCTTGGATCCAGCTAAGATACCACTGGCAGTATGACTTAATATACTCTTGGGGTTGCAGGCATATTTTGAGTTTAATCAACTGTCACTCTGATCGTTTGTACAGGGCCATCCAGAGTAGAGATGTGGCACAGTTCAGAAATGTTGTAACACAGTTAGAAGCAGATTTGGACATTACAAAAAGACAACTAGGGACAGAACGATTTGAAAGGTGAGTTAATCTCTGTAGAGTACTTGGCCCAAATATATTGTTTCTTAGCTAACAGTTGGTTTATTTTAGTGGTTCTCTCTGTGTGTGTACATGTGTATTATTTGTTTTTTGCTTTCATTTTTGAGACAAGGTTTCATTCTAGCCCAGGCTAGCCTCGAACTGCTTATTCTCCTGCCTCAGCCTACAGAATGTTGCTGTTATAAGAGTCCTCTTGACTCAGTCGGGAGTTTATTATTTCATGGTGGGTAGATTTTAACGTTTGAGTTGAACTACAGTTTCACGGTAGGTTTAATAACACACTGAATGTAAATGTTAAAGCCCTATCATCATTATTACCTTTATAGGGAGAGGGCTGTCCAAGAACTTCGCCGCCAGAATTACTCAAGTAATGCTTATCATTTGGGTTCAATGAAGCCAAATACAAAATGTCACTCACCAGAGCGTGCTCACCATCGATCTCCTGACCGAGGCCTCGACCGATCATTGGAAGAGTAAGTGTGCACAGGACCTGGAGTGTAGCCGTGTTCACAGTGAGATGTGAGGAAGCGAGGAAACTGATACTAAACCTGGTTAATAAGACATGGTGACATCAAAAATAAAGAGTTTTCATCTATAAATGAGTTTTATATGAATACTGTACTGAAATGAAATAGCTCTAAGGGATGTGCAGCATTGTACTGCAGTAGTGTTTGTTCCCCTCTCATTTTGTAATATGTGAAATCAAAGCTGAGGCCTCATCATGCTCTGACACAGTGCACTGACCTGGGCCATCAGCCTACATGTTGTATTGTCAAAGTCGGAATTCTTTTTACTTCTGCTTTCTCATGTACATTTATTACAAAATGTGGCTTAATTGCTGTTGCGCCAGAGAATATTTATGCAACATGAAAGTATTTATTATTTACTTTTATTTTAGACTTTTTTGTTATATTTCACAAATGTTTAAAGTTTTATTTGGGAATAATTTAAAATGTGTATGAACTAAATGTAAAAAACTAAAAATACCTCCTAGTTTTCTCATTCAATTTACTATTGTTAAAATTTTTACCCATTTGTTTTATTGTATAAAGAAGTGTCTCGTGTACCCCCACTACTGCGTATTTCCCCTATCACTCCTCTCTCTCTGTCTCTGTCCTTCTGTCTGTCTGTCTGTCTCTCTCTCTCTCCATTCCTCCCCACCTCCCTTAAAAAGCAACCAGTACATCCAACTCCAAAGTCCCATCATGGGGTCCGTCTTGTCTTTCCTTGTGTTGTATGTGTTCTGTCACCATAAGGACTGAGGCTCAACACCGACAGCACAGCCCACTCCTGACTCTCGTCAGCCCACAGCGTGTCTGAACAGTCTCCAGACTTCTGCAGTTCAGTGACTAGAATGATTGAAAAGCTCAAGATCTATTCGTAGGCATCATTCCTGCCCTCGTATCCTAGTTTTCCTGAGAGCATTAGCCAAATATCTAGTTCATGAATGACTTAAATTTGTTCTTGTATTCACTCATGATCCACTAATATCTGTATTACGACCAGTCATGGGCATAATGAGTGTTCTGTAATAGTCTAAAAATACTAAAAATTAAATATTAAAAAACACTCCCATTTTATAATATATATCCATATGTATGCATATATCAATATATCCATATATATATATATATATATCCATATGGAGATACACACGTGCACACACACACATACATATATATATGTATATGGATGGATGGGTATTTTACATGCATGTATGTCTGTGTAACAGTTGTGTGCCTGGTACCTGCAAAAGCCAGAATGGGACATCTGGTTCCCTGGAACTGGAGATAACAGCCGTGAACCACCATATGGAATCAAACCCCAGTTCTCTACAAGAACACCCAGTACTCTTATTAACACTGAGTTTTCTCTAGCCTCACAAACCCCAGAATTTTAATGTACTAGTTTTGATCTACTTTCTCTATTATTAATTTTTATTCATTTTATTACATTCTTCCTGTGTTATTTTTTACTTTGTTGGAGTTTTCTCCTAGCTTTTGGGGTTGGGAATTAATAACTTACTGCTGTTCTTTGTTTAACTGCTAGAGATTTGGACTCTTCATTTTCCTCTGTTGCTGCTTCGAATGGCCTCATGTGTTCTTAAATGTTTTGCTCTCCTTTCAGCTTGTTTGTGAACCTCTGGTTTCTGTTTTATTTCACTTTTGTCAATGAGTTGATGGGAAATCTTATAATTTCCAGTTGGAAGGGTGTATTCAGTTTTAGTTTTTATTTCGGCTATATTTGCATCATGACTAGGAAATACTATTTTTACCACTTCTGTTTCATGAGCTCTGTGGTCTGTGTGCCTTCCACATGATCAGTTTTTACAAATGTGTGCACTTGAGCAAGTGTATTTATTTTTGCAGTGTAGTATTATAGCTACAAAGCACTGACTCTGGTTTTATGCACATCTTTTAAGTAGATCTGACTACATTCCATCCACTTGGCCTGTCTTGTCTTGTGAATAATATTTTAAAATCTCTTGTATATCTTAATTTCTCACACCTCCTATGTTTTAAGGCACAGAATCCTCTGTTTATTTTCAGAAATAGAATAGTGCCCGCCAACACCAGTTGTCTTAGAAGTCTGCAGTCATGTAAAGAGGGGTGAAGTAAAAGGGGCATTGAGTACAGGAATGAGAACAAGGGGTTGTTTTCAAAGATGGCAGGATTGTATATGCTGAGAAGAAAGGATCTAGAGGTAAAAGTTTGGAGTTAATAAGTATATTAGCATATGTTAACAAGCATTTGGAATAAAAACTATCAAGATCTAATATTAGTCTACATGTCACACCAAACAAAACACAGTTTCAAAAGTCAGAAATTTCAGTAGCATCGAATACTAGGGATTTTAATCTATCAAATCTTTTTAGGTAATCATAAGACATTAATTTGAGACGTTCGGCACCAGCAGGTTCTAGGAACTAGCACTACTTGGCCGGAGCTTGCTTTCTTTAGAAGCTATGGTTTCCTCCACTTGCTTCTAGACTAAGAAGATGTTCTATGTTTGAAAGAACAATCTTCTTTTTGTGTAGGGGTAGGTGCGTGCATATTTGTGTAAATATATACGGAGGCCAGAGGCCAACTTGGCTGTTGTTCCTCAGGTACTGTCCATCTTTTTTCTTTGTTTTGAGACAGGATCTTTCCAGCTGGTCTAGGCTGGCTGTCTAGTCACCCCTAGGATCCCTGTCTCTTCCTCCCCAGCACTTGGATTACAAGCAGAAACCACAAAGCCCAGCTTTCTTTGAATTGTAAGGATCAAACTCAAGTCTTCATGTTAACAAGGCAAGCACTCTACAATGGAGCCATCTCCCCAGACTTCATTTTGTTGACATCAGGACCACCTTGGAACTTAGCATCACTCCTGAATACCTAGCTGCTGTTATTCACCTTCTTGGTCCGGCTTTTGAACTGAACTGAACTGAATTGAACTGAACTTGGAAGATGCTCTCCCATTTTCTTTTGGATAGATACGGCATCTCACTACTAGGAAGTCAATCCTAAGTCAGCCTGCTGCCCAGGTCATTCATTTTCTTTCTCCTTTCTGTGTGTGGTGCTTGTTGTAGCACCAGTGTTTGTCTCTCACACTGGCATAGCTCTAACACAGACGCTGGGATGATTGCTTCATATGTGGCTTGCTGTCTTTTGCTGCTTGGGCACTCTGAATTGACACCCTTCCTTTCTGTGTATAACTTTCATGAAGTGGTCTTCTCTGAAACATTGATATTCTTTGTTTGGTCTGGTGTCTGATACTGTGTATCCAAGTTGCTGATCCACAGTTACTGTCTCCATTCTCCTGGTAAATACCCTTAGCTCTTCCTTGATCTCTCTGTCTCACTGTGTCTCTTTTATGAAGTATTGGTTTGAGTTTTGCTTTATATGCCATTCAATTTTTTTTTACTAAGATTAAAAAACTTCAATAGAAGTAAAACATTTGTATACTGTTACTGTAATTGTTGCTTTTGGTTTCAAATCCATCCCAATATCTTGTTTATTGTTTGCATTATGTTGTTTCCTGTATTTCTCCATTAGATTTGTTTTCTTTCTTTTTAAAAAATGCAAACTTCTTGTAATATTTATAAAGGTTTGTATTTTATGTGTTACTTTTAAACTCCATCATTCACTGTCAACTTAAACTGTTATCCCTGAAGCTGGAGAGATGCTAGGTAGTTAGGGGTGCTTGCTGCTCTGCCAGAGGACCCAACTTCAGTTCTGTTCCCTCTCCTCTAGTTTCCTCTCTTCCAGGTTGTGAAAGAATTGCTACCATACAGCATGTAGACTCATACTGACTCAGTCTCAACATAATATATTTTGGGTCTTGGATAGAGTCTTACATGTCTCTTTTAGCTGTTAAGCCATATTTCAAATTCATCAGATGAATGGATGAACCACAAGTGACTTTAATGGCTATTGCCTTAGAGGCAGCAGTGAAAACAGTGCAGAGAATTTCATCGATCTTTTCCAGTTCCTGCAGCATCAGTACCTTGCAAGACAGGAAGTCAGCACTGGTATAACTCAGTGCACAGACTTTATTCATATTTTTCTAACCTTTCACATGTATTCATTGTACATGCATGTACACACATGTGCAGTCTTGGTATACACCAATTACTAATAACCAGGTACTGAATTGTCCCATCAACACCAGAGAACTCGCTTAGGAGAAGATCTAAAGGAAGGGTATAGTGGAATACGTGTGACACGAAAGCAAAAGGGGCAACTATTATGGGATAAAGGGCCACGCAGATGGGATGGTGGGAGGAGCACTGAGGCAGGGATACAATAGAAAAAAATACAATAACATATATGTATGAAAATGCCCATTATTAACTTAAAAACATTAAATATAAAAAAAAATCCTCCTTTGTGGTACCCATCCCTATTTAGAGTTAGAATCTTTTCCTCCTGTGTCCCCACCAGATAGTCCACTAACTTCTCTGCACTATAATTCCATCCCTTGAGGAGCCTATGAAAATCCAGTCATGCACAGAACTCCACCTTTGAGACTGACTTTTTTCATTCAGCATAGTGCTCATGACAACCATCCAAGCTGTATGTCTTAATATTTCATTCTTATAAAGTTGAATTAATTCTTTATGGTGTGAATATACCATGGTTTATGAACAAGTTCACTATGTCATTTCCCTTCACAGAAGCAGAGGGGATAAAACCCAAGGACTGCTAAAGTAAGACATAATACATCTTTTTTACACATGCTAACATTATTTAATTTAAAACCTTAATCTGTTTTGTTTTTTTCTATTATAGGAATCTTTGCTATAGAGATTTCTGACATGCGAAAAGATTCTCCACAGCCTTGGAAAGGTCAAAGATACAAATGGATTTTTTTTTTGCTATGTGATTGCATTTATCTTTTGAATGCTTGACAGGGTTAAATGTATTTATTAACTTTGTGCCTCTGAGTCTGTTCTCGAGTGCCCTAACACAGATATCTGGGATGATTGATGTATGCAAACAAAATGCATATGGCTCTTTCTATCCACACAGTAATAGTGA